CACTATGCAAACTACTTGATAAAATTCTGGCAACGAGACTTTTGGCGAAACTCGGGGATTTTATTCCGAAAGAACAATACGGTTTTATGCCGGGCAAAAGCACTATTGATGCCATTAAAAATTTTCAATTAAAAATTTCAGAAAAAATGGGAGGGAAAAACTACAAAAAATATGCACTTTTTATTGACTTAAAATCAGCTTTTGATCTGGCTAATAGAAAATTGTTTATGCAAAAGATAATTAACAAAAACACCCTATCAAAAAATGAACTTTTGTTGCTATCAGAATTTTTGGAGGTAGACCATATTCAGATAGATGATGGAATTTCACTTTCAGAGTTTTTTACTCAATCAAATGGCTTCAAACAAGGTATGAATTCTAGCCCAATTTGTTTCAATATTTACATCCATGACATTATTAAAATATTCGAGGGCATGGACGGAGTGGACTTTCTGCTCTTTGCAGATGATATGGTTTTTATTAGCGATTGTTGTAAAAAACTGGAAGAAATTTTGAGAAAGTTTTTAATTTACTGCACAGAAAACAACTTAAAAATAAACCTGTCCAAGACAAAAGCTTTAAAATTCACAAATAAAGGTAAAGGGCAGAAAGGAAAATTAGATAAAATAGCTTGCGAGGGGAAAGAAATCGAATTTGTAACTAGTTTCCCATACCTTGGTGTAACTTTTCAGAAAAGTTGCACGTCCTTCTCCAAACATGTCACCGAAAGATGCAAAAAGGCCCTCGCAGCCATGCACTTCAGTGGGAACTTACGGGACCTATCTCTCGACTGCGCTAAATCTCTCTTTTTTCTTAAATTCGCGCCCATGGCCACGTATGGGGTGGAAGCAATTTGGCCGCACTTAAAATTATGTGACTTGGTTACGTATGAAAATTTAATGACTAGATATTTTAAAAAAGTTTTAGGAGTAAGTAAATTTTCTAGAAGCTCTTATCTGTATCTTTTGATTGGCGACGAAGAGCCTTTTGTAACTAAAATTAAGAACACCTTTAATTTAGTTGACAATAAAGCTTATGAAGAATTCTTGGAACATATTCGGCATAGAAAAGAACGTGACTTTAATGTAGAAATATTTCAAACACCGGCAATGTTAAATGATAACTGGAAGCAGCCCTTGGTTAAAAATAGACATGTTCAAACACGGTTTGCAATGCACGGCTTTCATCACTTTGCTTGTACCGATAAAACTTTTCATACCGCCGGAGAAAAATGTAAATGTAAACTTTGTGACGAGACAAAGATTTCTCAGTACCACCTCCTTAAATGTACAAAAAGAATCAAATCCCTAACTGAATATGCTAAAATGGATAAAGATAAAACCTAGTATAGATTATATTTAACCTTAAGTCGACACTTTAATTCTTAACTATTATAATGTCTTGCTGAAGTTGTACACAATTGTGTTAAATAAATGGAAATAAATAATTTTTAAGTTTTTTTTTTTTAAGTTTAATATTTTATTTTAGATACTCTTAATTTTTTACCGATCAGAAAATAAACATTCTAATAATTTAAACATAATTATGGTTCTTAAAATATATTATTAAACATGACAGTCTAATGGGTATCCTGAATGAATTGCATTATTAGCATGACCTCAATTGTGTGTTGGGTCTATGGAAATTTAATGATTATTCCAATATTATTTAAAAATAAAGCAAAATAAATTTTAAATCAAAGCTGAACATTTATTGTTGGCTGTGGGCGATATTATTTTGATAAAAGAAAAATGGAATAATAATTGTAATTGGCGCCAAAAATTTTTATTCGTTCAAAGCATAACAATGGCTAGGTTAGGTAGGAAATTTTAGCTTAAGAATAAAAATTACAAAGAATTAACTTTAGTTGGAAACTACCCCCTTAAACTTAATTCTGGTAATTGCCTTTTGAATTAATAAAATATTAAAACACGAATGAAAAATCATGAAGAAATTTATGAAAATAATAAATAATTGATATCCAGATTATTAAATAAAAATATTTATAATCAAAACTTGACAACAATGCCAACAGAACTTGGCAAAACCGCGACGTTTTGAAAGTTTTGAAGCGGTCGGGGGATGCAAATTCGGCAGGGTGCGCGCATAAGAATGACAGACAAGTGTATTATGGGCATGTCAAACCGCGGCAGAGCAGCAAACAGACGACGGACGAGTGTGCGAAGATAGCGTGTGCTTTGTCAGCCGGCGGAACAGAGAACGGGGCACGCATGATTTATCAAATATCATAGCATTATCGTCTCTCTCTACTCTCACTCACTCGCATATTGAAATGCCATCATTGTTGTCGGCCGAGCGGGGGAGGCGAAGAGGTGCTCGAGCAGAAATTTCAAAATTATTAGATCGGGGATGACTAATTGCAGCGTCGCAGCCAAATCTCTTTTTAATACATAATCTCACCGCTTTTCCACTTTTTTTTCTCTTGCCAAATGCGATTACCTCACGCGGGAGTGCACAGCATCTTTGGTGAGAGTTTCATTAGAAGCAAAGTCGTGTTACGGGAAGGTTTTTTTCAATTGGAGAAAATTTTAATCGCCTTTATCGGTCGCACTTAATCTTGGTTTCAGCTTATCAACAAAGCTGCTTTTGGCGAAGAACTTTTTTGGAAAACTTTCGTTTACGTAACAGAAGAATTTTATTCTAATTTGCTGACAATAAGTGCTGTTGGTGGATTCTCCAGGCTGTTTTTCCTCAAGTGTATTTAGTGAATTATGAAAAATATTTCCTGCATTAATTATTCCTGATTAAGTACTCTATCAATTTATGCTTGTACGAAAATTGATAAATATATGGTTGGTTAAATTTGTGGGAGAATTAACTTTCAATTATATTTGATAAACGAGTTTTTAACAACAAAAAACAATATTTTTTTTGGCTCCAGTGCAGAAAAAAGTTTGAATCCGTCTTTTAGAATTGCTTATTAATCAATTTTAAGATAAAAATTTAAAATTTTCTTAAATAAAAATATAAAGATTTATTTCTGGTTGAATAATCGTGAGTTGCATTGCCATACTCAGGAAGTCTAAATCAAACTTAATACAATCGGAATTATTATTGCAAACTAATTGTCATTTAATGAACAAAATAATTTCCCTGATTTGATATCATGTCTTTGTTGTGGTGGAAAATTAATTCTTGGAATTTCCCTACCACAGCAATTAATTCTCACATTCAAACGGATCTTGCGTCAGAGCGATTTTTCAGCAGCTTACACAATCTCACTTGGTTTGAAGTTTTAACTTCGAGTGCTCTTCGGTTATGCAACCCGCACAACTCCATAGAGCCGAGGGATGATTTTGTAATAATTCGCCGCTAACAGGGCCGGTCTCTCTTTCATTTGAAAAGAGGTGCGTGATTTTTCAGTTTTCGGAGGGTTAAAACGCGGCACGTGCTGTGCAAATCGCTCTCTCTGTGTGTCGCCACTTTTATACGGTCTCTCTTTTTGCCTTTGCTCGCTCGCGCGACCGACCAGGCGGACGGATGAAAAACGCGCTAAAAAGCAAAGGGGACGCGCGCCGGACGGTGCAGGGCGCTCAGTATGTGGTGTCGCAACCCCCGTTCGCTCTCGCTTGATTGCCATCTCCAATTAATCCGCGCTCTAATTAAAGGTGCTCTTCATAGTGCATCCACTTCGAGTCCCACCCCTTCTCCTCAAACATCCGAAATTTGATTGAAAAAGCCGCTTTCCTCAAAGCCACAATGCCCTCAAACTACGATCTAAACAAAAGAGGCCTCGAGGCAGCGAGGTTTACATTCAACTGGGTTTTCCTGTCCGTGTTACGCAATTTGGTGTGATACGAAATTATGATTAAATTGAAAGAAACTCGTTAAAATTATTGCTACTCCAGTTACTTTACCTTAAAATTTAATAGCATATGAGTCATATTATATGACTATTTTGTAGATTTTCTCATAAAAAACTTGTTTTGAGTTTAAAATTATTATTATTAACGGTAAACTCTGGGTAAAACCAAGTGATACTTTGTAAACCGAATCCAAAAATACATACACGAATTCAAATTCAGATTTTTTTATAGATATCATGTCTAAAATAAACTAAAAAAAATTCTCTTGGATTTTATTTTGATACCTAGCTATATTTTTTACTCCCAGTAAACATTTGTATTTTTAGTTATTTATCTGTGCTCTCTAATTTTGAAATCGTCACTAATAAAATTTGTTTAAAATTATTTTCTTTGCTGATGGTTACAAAAAACTGCACTGATTGTGAATTTTTAACTTTATTAAGATATTCCCTCAATATTTTAGTTTTTTTTGTCTTAATTTTTTTCAAGCTCCTCTTGTTGTTAGATTTCATTTCCTCTTAATTGTTTATAATTAAGTGTGCCAATAAAATCTGCTTAAATATCGAAATCGAGCATAAATTTTATTTTTACGCTAGACCAAGGCACGCTCATGACAATAAACGTTCTAATATGGCTGTTACAGCTATAGCTTTTTTCGGCTGTAAACTGCATCTTACTCAATTTCAAATGAGGAATAATACAAAGACGAGCTATACAAAATTTTAACTTGTGTTAGTGCAGTTAATTGTCAAACTACGTAAGCTGCTATTTATGAAAAATAAATAAAGCTATTTCAGCCATGAAAATCTTACAATTTCACAGTTCACATTTTACCAGCAATCGATAATTTAACATGAAAATGATATTTCATTTAGAAAAAAATGCAGTTTTATCCTTAAACGTGATTAAAAAATTTAACTTTGAAGAATTACATGGGGTCTTTTCCATTTTGGAAGTGTTAGCAAAAATCTTGCCCAAAAAGGTGCATTTTTTTTGTCTAGCAATTTAATGTTCCACTCCCAGCAAATGATTATTGTTCATAACTTTTTGAAACAATAGGAAAAATAAACAACAGTAATAATGATTTTAAACTTGAAATTTTTAAATAACATCAGCATGAGCCAAAATTCTATCACAAAATTAAAAAAGGGAAGTTAAAAAAGATAGTCTTACCATGAGCAGGCGAGTTGGCTGATGGGCCTTGGGCAGGGTGCGAATCTCGGTGGTAAGCCCGTGCAAATCGAATGGAAAGGGCGTGCGAGTCACGTGTTGGCTCGGCCGAGGGCAGAGAGGGTGTGCGAGGGTGCCGACGGAGCAGAGGTGAGTGATTAAGCGCGGCGACGGCGGCGGCAGAGAGAGCGCGGTGCGGTTGATCCGGCCAATCTGCGCAGAGAGAATTACGCGACGTCGTGATAAGGGTGGGTGGGGGTTGATAAGGAGCTGTGTGTGTTCCGTACTTAACAGGGGCGGCGCCGGGTGCTCTCCGGCCAATCGCCGTCCACAGTGGGCACGGCACCAAGATTTTTGCCACTGCTCTCTCTCGCTCACGCCAAAATATTTTTTTTTTATTATGTATTTTTCCCCTGTAAATCAACAGCTGCGAAAAATCCCAGCGGCCTGTCCGTATTTGGAATTACTTTGCAAGCCGTAAATAAATAGTAATTGCTGCATCGCCGGATCTGAACGCCGGCGCTGGTCTCTTTCAGTCGCGATTATTTTTGTGGTGCCGCTTTTCAGGCCGGAAATGAAAGAAATTCATTTCTGCCTCAGCGTGCCTCTCAATATCTAGTCGTTTTTGTATTTGAAAAATCGCACTTGCTTTTATAAGCAAATTCTATCAGGCAAGTTCTGCTACATTTCAAGTTTTGCCTCAATGAGAGTGAAACATTTTACTAGAACATTGCCAAGTCAGGCAAATTTTCGGACTTATTCCTAGTGTTCAATTATTTTAAAATTTAGGGCTTTATAAATAGTAAATATTGAACACAGAACAGCACGGGTGAGAATTAAAAAAAAATCCACTCGGCATTGGAAACTTATGAAACACATGATATAAACAAAAAATTCCTTTTGTGATGTTTGTATATAAAAACCTATTTTCCTATTATAAAGCTAGGAGATATTCCAGTCTATTAGATAAAGATTTTTTGATAAAGTCCAGTTGAACTTCATTTCTTTAATAATAATTTGTTGTGTAGCATCATCTCATTTAAACCCATTGTCAGAGTATTTGCTCAAAATATTCAAGAAGTTAAGATTTAAAAATTTAAAAATTGCAGGGGAATATAAATTTAAATTGCAATATCGATTAAAATGAGATTTTACAGTTTAAAATTCCATGATTCTAGCTTTTTTCCATGAATGCTAGAATAAAAGCTCGTAGAAATCAACAGCAGGCCAAATTTTTTAGGTAGATCTTATAGATAAACTAATGCAAGCACTTTTTGAGTGCCTTCATTTTTATTGAAGTTGTCTGTTTTGACATCAAACATACAAAAAGTTATAAATAACTTTAAATTTTTTTTGATGTAATTTCTCTCTCTTGTAATTAATGTAATTTATAATATTGAATGTATGGATGATGTATTTGGGCAGAGAATGACCAGTGGTAAATTAATAAACACAATTTGTAACTAAATAATTTAAAATTGGAATGTACGCTTAAATAAAATACATTTTAAATTATCATTATTACTTTTTTTTTTTTTTTTTTAAAACTTATTTATAGTTATAATTTATGCTAAATAATTTTATTAGTGATTTAACACATTTTTGTGCTGTGAATATTGAGATGCATAATAGAAGAATTTGGTAAAGATTACCAAACATTTATCGTATATAAAAGGAAATTATTCCCCCAACTGATATGATATGGAAACCCACTCTATTTCTTGTGTAGGGCTTGTCCCGGCTTGTAAAATTGGTGTTGGTTGTGGAATCGCTTAACATACATAAAAGCGAATTTTTATTAAATATGATGCACGCAAATTAACACATAAACAATTGAAACGTCAAATTTGTAATTTTTCTAATTGATAACTTCGCATACTTTGTGAATGCGTATTGCGTAAATAGTATAAAAGAATAGTCAAGAATAAATAAAAGCAGAGCTTATTTGAGATGAGACGTGATCTTAATATTATAAGTTTTATATCGTCACATTTGGAAATGAACTGTTTCATCTTTCCTCTTGAACCCAACCACCCAGTCAGTCTGGCGTTTCTTCTCTTCGCGAGAGTGTCGATTAAGTGAAAACCGTGGAAATGCAAGTACTCGCGGGAATGCACCACTTCCTCGGCTCCCAAGGGGCCCTCTCTCCTCACAAGAGCGCCGTGGTTGTTCTGCAACCCGCTTGTCGTCCGCCATCGTCCGCGAGCTCTATTTGGGTGACAGATTGCGCGTCGCACAATACGTGTTCAGCAGCAGGGCCACTTGCAAGAAGAGGAGCGCCACGAGAGGCCTATCTAGCCAGCCTCACACTGCGAATCATCCATCGACACTCAAAGTCGCCCCTTTTCCTCTCAATCACTATTACAAGTGTGTGCACAAGTATCGGCAGTGACCACCATCGTCAGACTTGAAGGAAATGGGAAAGCGCACAGATCGCTCTTCACAGCATTTCCCCAATCTAATTTGCCAAGCTGGGGACGGATTAATAGTAGGACTCAAAAATTTTATATACATCTAATATACTTCAAAATTACTACAAAATTCCGAAAATTGGAAGGTTTTTTTAATTTGTAAAAATAAAAATTAATTTCTTATTTTTCCTCCCGAAGAAATTTCTGCTTAACATTAAAATTGATTTATTTCTCCGATCTATTTGTGGCTAGTGACATGAAAAATATAAGCACAATTAGTGATGCAAAAATATAAATTGTTTCAACATACGAGCCTCTTCCCGGCGACCAAAACAAAGTTATTCGAAGAAAAAAAACTGAGTTAAAATGTTCATCGATACTTACAATTTAAATAATTTGCTTTAGTAATGTTTTTTATATAATAGAATTTAGTTAAATTTTACAAATAAAGACAGTGTAATTAATATACTTTTTAATTTTGATCAAAGAATTAAAATGGCTATTAATAAGTTTTAAGAAAAAATTCTCATATTACTGTTAAATTAGATTTTTAATTATTTTTTATATTTTTTTTATATTTATTGCTAGTTATGATTAAACTTTGATAAATAAATTGTTTTACATAATTTTTACGTCTGGACTTGACTACTTAGGTATAACTATTTTAACTTTGAAAGTAAAACAACCTAGCTTATCAAGTTTCATTAAAAAAGAATAAATTTAAAAATTGTGTGATCAACAGGCTCTTTTAGATCTCGGGTGTTGTAGCAAAATTCTTATTTGCGGTGGATCCATTTTCTAACAATTCAATATTTGGCTCCCTGCAATTAATTATTTTTAATTAAAACATAAAATGGTTTGTAATTGTAGAAACAAACAACAATGATTTTAATATGTCTGAAAATATTTTGTTTGTGTTAAGTATCAGAAACAATTAAAATTCAATTTGTCGAGATTCCCAACTGGTGAGCTGTAGATGCGAGTACCTGAGTAGATTCTCGGTCGTTAGGAGTGCCGAGAGAGAGAATGAGCCTAGATTTGTTTGCCAATCAGGGGTCCGAAAGTATACGGCACTCTCGCTCCAACGATGGTTTTCTGATTATTTGCTCCCTATTGAGAGAAAGTTGATGTCTCTGGCGAAAGGGAGGACAAGAGAGCTAAGAGACAAAGCGGAGCGAGCGAACGGGATTTGGAGAGAGATAAGGGGGTGAGTTGATGTATTGTGAGTGAGAGAGTGAGCGGCGGGCGAGTATACATTGAGGCGGGCGGGCGATCATCATTCAGCATTGATCTGCGACTGAGAGTGAGAGAGAGAGCACCGGCTTTTATGTATGCATGACGACGAGATGATATTATTGATTATTGTCACATAAAAAGTGCTGCGGAGAAAAAGCAGAGAGGAAATTTTTATAGCCATGCGCGGCCGCGACACAAAAACACACACGGGATAGAGAAACGAGAGCTTTTTCGCTCCCCTCTTTGTATCTCGGCCTGCCTGTTTGTGTCATGGGGATGAATATTTTTGGGACAAGTGTCAACAGATAGCGGCGCCGACAACGCCAATAAGCAGTAGGAGAGCTATCGCTGCTTGTGCAAATTGGGTTCGGTGGGGTGAAATTTCACGACTTGTGCGCCACCAGTTGAATTTTTTATTAATTTTTATATGCTCTTGCAGATATGTTTGGAACACAGGAAGAATGTTTTCCTCAGTTTAATCAACTTTTTAAACTGAATTAAAACTTATTTTCAATTGGATGTTAAACAAAAGTTTTTAAACTTTATTATTTAAAACTATTATTTAATATAAAATGCAATGATTTAATTGTAATTTTCATTTCATTGAAATTATATGTTATTATTATTTTTTAAGAAAAATTTTGTTTTTCAGTGATTAAATCTAAGCTTTTGCTTGATATGTATGCTTTTGTATTCAATTTTTTTTTAAATTAATTTGAATTAAATATTAATTCATTAATAAGTTGATGTAATCTATTAGTTCTTATAGATGTCAACACATATTTTTTTGTAGCCTTGTGTCTTGCTTAAGGAACCACTATAGGTATAAAAAGGGGATACATATAAATATTTGACAATTAATTTAATTGTAGATTATGCATCATCGCGTAAATCTTAACTTTTAATGTTAATGATGAGACATTTGTAAAGTTTTGCTAAAATTAAATGCTCAGGTATTAAAATCCACCTGAAAATTCTGAAAATCCATAAACAATTTTCCAGTAGCTTTAGACGGCTAGAAGCATTTGATAAATGGATATAATTATGCACTAGAAAGGGAATTTAAAAGAAAAATATAACATATCATTGTTGAAAATACCATAAATAGGCCAGCTTATTGTTAGTGTATTGTCAGATTATTTTTAAAAAAAAAACCTCTATTTAAGGTTAAAGACTTGAAACTTGATGCAAATTTTTTATAAATAAAACTTTGATGCATATTTAGAAATTTAACTAACATTTTTAAATAAAACTGTTTATGATCGAATAATGAAGAAAATATAAAAAAAATAATGTGGCAATATTTTAATTTTAAAATTAAACGAAAATTTTTACCAAAATTACCTGGCCAAAAGTATAAAACATTTAAATTTCGGACTACCATTGCATTCATTCATTTGTCGGCCGTCACAATCATTCAATGCAATTTTGATGAACCCGCGAGAGTGGCTGACGAAGCCGATTAAAAGCTGCGGACACGCGCTCAAAATTAAAATT